GACATCGTCGCCGAGGAGAAGCTCTACTGAATCGGCGGCGAAGAAGTCCGGGTCGGCTAGCTCCAGGTTGTCGAGGTGCCGGTCTGCACGGAGGCCGCCGCTGGTCGTCGTCAGCCGGTCCAAAACGAAGGCAGAACTCCGCAGTGGCGGGCCGTCGCGCAGCGGCGAGAGCGCGAGCTCGACCTGGCCTCGAGCGCCGGTGGATCGCCCGCCAACGCCGACTATGGAAATCGAGGTGAGTGCCCAGGCCAGCTTAAGACGCTGAGCCAGCGACTCGGCCACGAGCGAGATTTCGGAGCCTTGGTCGACTAGGGCACGCACGGCGTGCAGGATTCCGAACTTGTCGGCGACGCAAACGCGCGCGGTCGCGAGAAGCACCGCCGGTGCGGCTTTCGCGTTTCGGTTCGCGGAGAGCGAGGCTCTGGCGACCTCGTTCGTGTTGCCCGCGTCATGGAGGAACGAGTGATGGCGTTCGCCGCACGACAAGCACGTCTTCTTAGACGGGCATTTGCTTGCCTTGTGCCTCCCAAGGCAGTTGAAGCACAACTTGTTCGTTGTTGATTTCTTCTATCCGACGCCGTCTTTGCCTTGAACGCGTCGCAAAACATAATGTAATGTTCTTGGTGGCACATCGTACACCGCCCGCGCTTGCTGTCGGGTTTTCGGGCATGAAGCACGCGCGGTGGGCGCCCGGAATTCGTAACCGGTTTCGCGGAACTCGACTCCGCTTTGCTCGGCTGCAACGACTCGAGCGTGTGCAGCCGTCGATCGATGAATTGTATCAACGAGGCGTACGTCGGCGGTTCCGTCGTATCGCCAATCGCACTCTCCCATTCGCGGCGCGACCGGGAGTCTAATAAATCTACAACGAGGTGCACGAAAAGGTCTTCCCCGCGCGTTATCGGTCGTCCGATGCTCTCGAGCGAGCCGACGGTACTCAGCACGCCGTGATACACTTTACGCAAATCCGCACTCGACTCACCATTTATCCGCTGGATTGCCGTGAACCTCGAAATGTAGGACCGCACGAGCAGGCGCTTGTTCTCGTAGTAGTCCGTAAGAACTTTCCACGCGCGATTAAAGTTTCCGCCTGTCATGGGTAGACTTCGAATCAGGAGCTCTGCTTCTCCTTTCAGGCACGCCTTGAGGTAATGGAGCTTCTCGACGTCGGCGGCGGACGCATCCTTCCCGATGAGCGAGTGGAAGAGGTCACGGAACGAAGGCCAATCTTCAAGAGTCCGGAAAATTGCGGGAGTTGGATTCTTGTCAGGGTCGTTCGCGACGGCTGTGTCGGAGCCGTTCCGACAGCTGGAGTCTCGGTCCTCTCTGCGGCTCTGAGGCGTCGAAGCGTGTCCAAGAACATGCCCTTCTGCGTCAGGTAAGCCTCCTCTGCTAACGTTGGCATGTCGGTTCTTACATACGTGCTCTCCGACAGGGCGGGCCTCCCAGTGTTCGAGAAGTTTGTCGTGCTGGAACTCAAACTTCGCCCAGTTGGCCTCGAGGGCTTGGAGTCGCGCTTACGCAAGCCCGATCGTTATGTTGGCGGTTCCCGACTTCCGCAAGTTCTCGTATGCGCGGGCAATGCGTCCGTATAAGTCCGACTGCGAACGGACAGTTGGCTCCTTGTTCTTATTCATCTTTGTCTTTCAGGTGAGCGACGTCCGGAAGAGCACAGACGGAATCACTGCAGGCACTGCACTCACTCCACGCACAGGCACCGGATGGCAAGAGATCCGGCTCGAAGGACCAGCAAATGTTTGCGAAATTACGTGGACGTGCGAGCGAGGATGCCGCAAAAGACTTTGCGCGCGAGATGCGACGGCCGACGGATCGGCAAAGCGCGCGAACAGTTAGACGCCGGTGATTCTAGGTCGAACACCCTATGTACGCTGTAATTAAAGGAATATTCACGCGAATGCAATCGTGATTCACACGTGGCGGATAAACAGCGAAATATCGTCTGTCTTGGAATAACTCCGGTAGTCACACTCAACGGAAGTGAAATAATCTATTTCACGCACGATATCGAATTTCTCTAATTACTTTGATAGCGTACACGCGTCGATAACTCTAAGCGGAATGCTGCTGAGCTCACTCGTCGGCTCATTTTTATAACGTCGCCTCCAGAGCGAAGGATCCAGAAGATTCTCGAAATTGTATTTCCGCCGACAGTTTTTATGCGACTTGTTTGTTACAATTTGATCTCTGGATTCTCCGCGAAGGGCGACGGCGTTTATTTGTCTCGGGCCTTTCCGCTTGATCGCGAAAAGGCCGCCCCCGATTGGGCGCCGGTGCCGGCGGCTCGCAATGACGCGATAGGCGCGTGTCGACATGCCGAAGGCTTTGATTCGGACGCGCGCGGCAACGACATGTCGCGCGGCAATTATGAGCCGCCTATAGAGAATTGACGCAATCTCAAACAGACGTCAAATCACATATACAATCAATATTCACCGACGCTTCTATTAAAGTTATTATTTGTCGCAGACTAATTAAATATCCACTGAAAGATTTACGTTCCGTTATAATCAGTGAAATGCATTACTTACCAACGGGAGGACACCGTGGAGTCACAAAAACTTATAACCGAATAAAACATTATTACCTCTTCTTTCGATAAAGTAGCCATGGATATTGTAGGCTCTTTACCTAAAACTGAAAGGGGAAACGAATATATTCTAACATTACAAGACCAACTAACTAAATTTTGCATGGCAATACCATTACCAAATCAAACTTCCGAAACCAACGCAGAAGTTTTTGTAGATCGATTTATTTGCGTACTTGGAGCACCAAAAGCAATATTAACGGATCAAGGCAGAAATTTCCTTAGCGATCTAATAAAGAAAATTGCAAAATTATTTAAAATTCGTAAATTTCGCACAACAGCCTTCCATCCTCAATCAAACGGATCATTAGAAAGATCACATCACGCATTAGGCGAATATTTAAAACAATACGCGAATGAACAAAAACAATGGGATAGATGGATTAGCCTTGCCATGTTCAATTATAACATGAGCGTACATGAAGCAACAAAGCATACTCCATATGAGCTGGTTTTTGAAAAGATTGCACGTATTCCATCGAACGAACTTCTACCTCCTGGGGACAAATTAGCAAATTACGACGTATATTTAATAAATCTTGTCACTCAACTTCACGCAATTCAGGAAAATGCACGCGATAACGTTATTCAAGCCAAAACTAGATCAAAAAATTATTACGATAGAAAAATCAACCCACAAATTTTTAAACCGGGAGATCAAGTATTTTTATTAAAAGGTCCAAAACCGGGTAAATTCGGAGATCAATATACTGGGCCTCACGAAGTTCTAGAAATCTTGAACAAAAATAACGTAAAAATTAGAATAAAAAAGAGGTAAATTCGGAGATCAATATACTGGGCCTCACGAAGTTCTAGAAATCTTGAATAGAAATAACGTAAAAATTAGAATAAAAAAGAATAGTCGAATTGTACATCCCAATCGCTTACGAGTCTCATACATTAAACCTATGCCAAATAATAGT